AATTTCATTTAATAAAGTTAAGCTAAATACACAATTATATCAATACATTTACAATATTTAACAATGCATTTATTATATGGTATTTACATATATTATTTTACATTTAACAATGCAACAATGTTATATCTTAAATTTAAATATTATATTCTCCTCACATTATATAAAATAGGAGTTTCTATATTTCGTGTGCAGGAGATGACCTCACAGCAAATCATTAATAATTTTTCGGTTTGCTTTGCGCACGATCCATACACAATTTGAGTTTCCTTATAGAAACTGAAAACTCTAAAAAAATAACTATATGGCTTAGATTCAGTCTCAATTCACAGGGTTTCGAAAATTATGCTAAACATATTTATGTTTCTAATGATATTACAATAAATCCCGAAAATGTAATAATACCCCGAAAATGAAACAGGGAACATAATTAATCATCTAATACTATTTTAAACATTACAGATCTTGTGTCTAAAAATATCTTGCAGTTAAAAAAAATCTGCAAAAATTCAGCGAAAAAAAATCTGCAGAAAATGTGAAGGTATTTGAAACATGTTTTCTTCAGATTTTCTGCAGAAAAAAATGTAGAATATCTGAAGAAAAATATGTTCCAAATACCTTCAGATTTTCGGCAGATTTTTCTACAGTCAAAGTTTAATTATTAATTTCAATTAATGTAGTTATTAATTTAATTAATCTAATTTGTGATTCAAAAAAATCTGTAGAAAATCTGAAGGTATTTGGAACATGTTTTCTTCAGATTTTCTGCTGAAAAAACATGTAGAATATCTGAAGAAAACAATGTTCCAAAGACCTTCAGATTTTCTGCAGAAAAAAAATGTAGATTATCTGAAGAAAAATATGTTCCAAATACCTTCCAATTTTCGCCAGATTTTTCTACAGTCACAGTTTAATTATTAATTTCAATTAATGTAATTATTAATTTAATTTGTGACTCAACTTACTTGCACGATGGCGATTCAGATTGTGACAGAACTTGAAAATCATCTTGTCCGGAATTCGAGCCCGCGTTCCTATAGTTGGCAGGCAAGAACGCTAACCACAAGGCCACGCCGGAATACGCGAGATGGGGGTAAAATAATCTATTTGAGTTTTAGCGTCACCATAGCTCTCTTGGCGCCATCTAGTGGTGTAAAAATCAACCGAGGTCAGAATACGTGTTTCAAAGTCGTAGAGATGAGTAACAGATGAGGTTAGTAATATTTTTGTTCAATAATTTAGGTTCTCTGTTTCAATAAATTCGTTTTCACACTTTCTTCTTTCTGGTAAGCCTTCTCTCCATCCAAAGGGCTCAAGCTCCACTTTTCCCTTTTTTTTCGGAGGAAAATATCTAGTCAGAAAGACAGTTGGAAAACTAATTGGAAATTAATTAAATTATGGGGGAAAAGTTTAAAATGGTAAAACCTCAAATATTTATTTTAAAGATTAATTTAGAATTCATTTTTTCAGTGGCATATTTAAAAAATTTAGTGCTCAAGGCAATTTTCGATTGGGAACTTTTTTGAAACTCCTGTCTGCTCTAGAATTAAACAATAATGATAATTACATTCTAAATTTGTTTTATATCCTTTGGAAAATAAAGCTGCAATATTAGAGAATATGGCGCAAAATATGTATTTATAGAAATGCAGATATTATGAAATTGCAGTTAAATCTTCAAAAAATCAACAGATATTAGTCAAGTTTAAAGATTTTGTGAAAATCTGCTAAATAACTGGAAATTGAATTGAAGACAAAATGCAGATTTTTTGAAATCTTAAAAAATCCACTGTATATTTAAAGAAAAAAATATAAATAATTTTTTTGCAGATTTTATGCAGATTAAATTGAAGAAAAAATGCAGATTTTTTTGTCTTCAAAAAATCTGCAGTATTCTTTAAAAAAACTTCAAAAAAAAATTCTGCAGATTTTTTTTAGCTGGGAAATTTACCAAGTATAAAGAGAAATGGAAAATATCTAGAAAGAATTTGGAATTTGAAATTAATCAATAAAATTTTAAGCATTTCATTATCAAAAAGTTTGATAGTAATTTTTTTAGAATTCTCAGCTTAACATATCTTTTTCTCTCATTTAAATAAAATAAAACTTCATCAAAATATATGTATTTTTTTTCAAATGTTAGCTTTTAATATATCAGTGTTGTGCCTAAAATTAGAATGAGTATGATAAAGAAAATTGAGTTATTATACCATTCTTTATTAAATTAAAAATGTTTCTCGAAAATTATATGTACAGTATGTGTTACAAAACAAATAAAAACACGATGTTTCAGATTTAATTAATATAGATATATTTTTAAAATAAAAAAAGAACGAAATATAGTCATTGTAAAAAAGAATTCATGAGAGTTTTTTATTTATCATTTAGATTGAAATAATTGATGCTTTCGTCTGCTTTAAAAATCACATTCTCCGAAAGGATGGCACTGAAAGTTGATGTTCAAAGATTTTAAAAAGAATATAGTAGTATTTCTGAATCAAAAGCTTGTTAGAGAAAATTTTATTGATTCTACAATTTGTAAGTTATCGAGAAACTTGCTACTTAAAATAAATTTGTAATGAAGAAATACTTTTTAAGTCGTATAATCTCTTCCTTACTTTTTGCAAATAAATAACTTGAACAGTAAGTAGCAACTTTATTTGCTGTACATTCAGCAACGTTTTCAAAACATTGAATTGTTTGCATCTTGGCATGGAAGCATTATCCCCGTGAAAGAATTTTCGACTTCAATATACTTAATAAATGGGTATAACTTCGAAGTCTCAAGAAAATTTCAATTACAGAATGGTAATGCGATTCGTGAAAAATTAAAATACATTCAAATCAAATTGTTTGCTAATATATTCTGCTTTAGATAATTTAGAATGATATTGTTTAATGGGCGACGTGTTAAGATCTTCTGAGATACATTGCTAGAATTTCGATGTTACATTCACTCTCACAGATTTTTAAAAATAATATTTTTATTTAATATATGATGGTAATCGTTACGGAATCCCGAAGATTGATAGAATTACAGTTGTAATATTAAGATATGCTTGTTTAAAGAATGATGTACAATCTCAAATTCCATCTTGATTGATTAAAGCAAGTATCGTGACAGGTAGATCATAAAACATATTTCGAACAGAAGAATTTTAGTAAAATTCTTCAGGATATAAAAGAATGACTCTTATTACATGACTGGGAATAAAGTCACGTATTCCTTTTTGAAGCTTTGAATATGGATACCACGAAATATGATTGAATAACATTTTTGGGAAAGAATAACAAACTATTCAGGTTACCAACATTTCTGACAGACTAAAGAAACAATGATCTTTATTTTTCCTTCCCTTAAAAGAGCAATTCAATGATCGAGAATGGACTTAACCCTTTTTATTCTGAACAACAGGTTTTTTTTATGTCTTTACAATGGAAATACTCTCCTAGAAAGGAAAGGTAGAAGGAGAAATGAATGCATCGTCTTTTATCTTAAAATTGATATTTACCTCCTTTTAAGAGTTTCAGCATCGGAAACTAATAAATTAAACGTCATTTAATTATGCCAGGGCAAATCGACGTATCAAATTTTATTACGTTACACGTATTTGTTCAATCCTTTGAACTTATCACTTTGTAAAACAGCAATTATTTCAATCTAAATGATAAATAAAAAACTCTCATGAATGCTATTTTACAACGACTATATTATAAAAATATGTCATTTTAGGCAACGTATATGACTTAGCTAAACATTCAAAAATATGTTTAGTAGAAAATAAATCTCAAATATATCACCATCTTTAGTGCTACAGATCTCTAATTTATTAAGACAAGAAATGCCTCTGTTGTCTGCTGATATTTTCAAAATCCTATCATTATATTTGGTGTTAAAAATGTTGGCATAAGTATACTTTGAATGTGGAAGATGCACACTTTGGGAAATTTTCTCAAGATTTTAATTAAGAATTTAATTAATTTAAAATTAAGAAAAAAATTGGTTTTTTTCGAACTTTTTATTAATATCCCCATCAAGAAATATTGCGCGAAAACCAGTGTTAGTATAATCTAAAAATGTGGCCATGGCATTAGGTTCCTTGCGTTATATCTTATTTTGATGCATTTTTAACAGATGCTTATCTATTTAGCCACATACCCAAAATTTTGACATTATGATACAGCTCCGTTATTTAGATTTAATTTTACATATCTAGTGCTCTCAATCCATTAATGCATTGTGTTTAAATCAGCTGTAGTTTCGTACATTAAGACGGAGCCTTTCTCAAAAAAATTTATTCTCAAATTATGCATGAGAATTCTACAAAACATTGACATCGTCCAATTTTTTGTATTATACGTATCTCAATCCTTGTAATAAGAAATATTTATATGATTCAAGTAATTTACTTAGTCTCTAGGGTGTATCAAAGATTTCCACAGTTACGTTGCAAAATGCCGTGAAATTGCTGTTCAATGCCGTGTTTGCAGAGATTGTTTGATCCGATTTCATCAGGATCAAACAGGTGCAAAGATAAAACATAAATTTGTGCATTAAACTGGACAAACTTGCAATAAAAATGATCAACATGTTTCGGGAATCCTAATGAGTCGTACAGAATTTTTCGAGGGACGATGAGTACAGAGATCATACACATCTTGTGCTTTTGACATCCGCATCATTCTTGACAACGATTTCGCCCGCCAAGCCATGCCGTCAACAAAGTGCATTGAAAATTCTAATGTAATTGAGAACAAACATTGGGCTAAAGCAGCTTGATTGGTGGAAGGAAAAGGACTGGATTCTTCACAGCAAATACTCCCTTGCAGAGAGCACTGATCATTGTGAAATTTTCGCCAACCACAAGGTGTTATAAGTTCCATTCAAATTCAGCTCCTTTGAAAAACTCCCTTTCAAAAGGATGAAGATGAATTGGAAAGATCTCATTTTCTGACAGTTGTTAATAGCACACAGCCCTGTGCCAAAATATTAAAAAAGTTGCCAACAGCACTCTGTGTTGCCTTGTGGTCGCCCTCCCAAGTACTGATATCGCTCAGTGATGCTTAACTACGGTGATCAAACGAGACGAGAACTGGTGCTTTCAGAATGGTATAGTATGGCCGTTTCTGGCAGAGACTCAGTACAAATTTCAGGGCGTTAAGGATTCTCTTCCTTCGTGACCTTTCCTTGGCACATTCCTCCAGTGTCAGGAAAGCTGGAACTCATGCATTGCTGCATAGTATTACCTTGTCCATTTTATACGGTTTAAGCTTAAGTAACTAATGTACTTTCTATATCAACTGAGCTATTCTTGGATATTTTCTATATAGGTACTTTGTGTTCAGCCAAGATGTTATTGGCAACTTCTAATCTCTGCTGTATATGAAATTTGCTCACGGGATTAAAAGTATAAAATTGGGTAAATTATGATTTGTTTTGATTAAAAAGGAATTAAACACTCATTAAAAAGGATTAAATAGGTATTAAATACTCAATAAAAAGGATTAAATAGGTATTAAACACTCATTAAAAAAGATTAAATGGGTATTAAACACTCATTAAGTGGAGAGCATTTGAATCTTCGTCGTATGGCATCTAAATTTTAGTAATTTTAAATTAGCATTTTTTTACATACTAGCCCTAGCTATTTCACAAATTGCAGAAAACTTTCTTTTTTTTGGTTAGCACATAAGACAAGGAAACAAAAAAGCAGTTCTTTAACAAATTCAGTATTAATTTGTTCACAAGGCTCAAACAGGACATATTAATTTTCTAAAGAGTGTAGATGGTCGCAATCGCAAGTGTACATTAGTTGTTTTTAGTTATTCGAAATTCATTTTTCACATAACATAGCAGAACGATATTTTGGAATGCTTTCTAGATATAAAAATATAAAAATAGTTTTATAAACAATAATTATAACTCATTTTTATGCTTTCGATAAATTGGAAGATTATATAAAAGAATTAATGATAATCAAACCAATGAATCAAATTAAATGATAAATGATATTATCAAGTCCAGAAGGTTTTCAACAAAAACTTTCTTAGAAATCTGCCTATATTTTCTCGCGAATGTTACAATTATTCATTTGCATTTTTAATATCAATATAAATACAAATAACGACACTATATCTGGAGTGTAAAGAGGAAAAAATATTCAACATCACAGTTATTATTTCTCTAACGAGAATTAAGCTTTTTAATGCAGTAGTTCGCTTTCAGTTATATGCGAAATGAAAATATTTCTAAATTTCCTTTCATTGAGAAATCAAAGCACATTTCCCGGAAATGAATCTTAGACTTCTAGCTTCCCATTATGAAACGAACTTGAATTTTCATGAAATCCTAATTTTCATGCGTGAAATTTATGTTGAAGGATATTTTGTTACACATAAATACAAATATTTTAATAACTGTATAAAATTTTGCAGCAGATGTTTTCGCATAATTCAGTGAGATGCACTGAAAGAAACGGTAAAATAAAAACAAAATATCTATCCATCTAATGTATATAAGAGCATATTTTCAGTGTACATAAGTATGATCGCTTTTTTTTCTTATATATGCGCACCAAGACCGTTTAACTTACCGGGACCAAATTTGGCACAGTGATGGATTAGTACAAGCTTTGGCTAACTTCGTAAAAATTATTTTGAAATTCGAATTAGAAGTTTTCGCATATATTCTCATCGAAGAACTGTGATTTTTATCACATCGTAAAGTTTAGAATACTCCCCCCCCCCTTCAAATAAGCTCTGTTGTGTAAATTACTTGATTTTGACGATTTTTTAAATTTTCGGGAGAGCTGTCCTTTTTCTAACGATTCGCGCGTCACTCGAGAAGAAATATTATGTTTCCGTGTTCATTAAACATAGGAAAAAATTGTTCTTGCATTTCTCTCTATCTCTATTTTTGTATAATGATGTTTTATTTTGCAAAATAGATTTTTGGCAACATTTTGTTAGTTCTAAATATTTTTAAATTTATATTTTTATTTAGAAACACCGTGTAAATTCTGTACAATATAATTGTACGTTTTAAGGTTGTATAATTATTGTGCGATACATTTTTTAAAAGTTTGGAAGAAATATTTTTTCCACAGTTCTCGCATTTTTTTTCAAAAAAGCGGTAAAATGCTATGTTATAAGGTAATAAAAAGGCAAGAGTTTAAAGTTTTAATTCAACAAATAAGTGTTGTGGTGAATTTGAACTATTACTCAAATTGAGTTTCAATACACAATTAATTGATAATGCCTTCTAGAATGTATAAAGAAATTAAAGTTATCAAATTAAATCTTCATGAAATTTAAGGCAACACAAGAACAAAAAAAATTATAAATCAGTGAATTAAAATTTGAGAGATTATTTGTATTGCTCACTCAAGATTAATTACACAACGCTTGATTCCTTTAACATTAACTGCCTTTTAAGAATTTAAAATTCAATTAAAACCAAATTAGTAAATACTGATGATTTCTAAGGCAATAAGTTAAATATAAAGAGTAACAATTCATCACATCTGATTAATTTCATAATTTAAAACTAATGGCTATAAAATGTTGAGTTGTGATTTAATAAAATAAAAATAAACATCCAGGATCTATTCCAGATCGGGATGAACCCTGCGGAAGTCAGTGTGTCATGAGACGAATGATGACAGAGACATTATTTGGATAAATTACAGCAATCTTTATTAGAAATATAATTAATTTTGTCTTGGTTATAGAAATATATATAAATCATACTTCAAAACTTCACACTTGGAGAGGGTCTTTCCACGTATATACATTTACTCAAATCAAAAGAGCTGCTTACATGTCAGAGCTACACATTAATTTCATTAATTCAAAAAGAGACAAAACCATAACATCATGTACATTTTACTTTTTATGTTTAAATGTTTTCTAGTTGATTTTGCATTTCAGATGGGTAATTTATCAATAATAACAATAAGACACCAAGTTTTAAATTACCTAGGAGATTAGGACTCCACGCATTTAATTTTTCACGTAACAGTTTACATTCTATCTAGGATTTTATGAAAATTTGTTATTTCTATATCATTATATTAGAAATCTCTCATTGAATGTGATCTAATTAATTGTGTACCGATAAACATCTGTTACCCTCTAAATATGAATATAAAACGACAATGAATAGAATGACCATGAATGAAAATTCAATAATGTAAACATCAATAATGTAAACATCAATATTATCTGTAATTATCTATGATAACACTGCATCACAGATTTGTATGAGAACTATTTAGTCATTCACTGTAAATATCTGCAATCATCACCTTGAATTCATACAAAAAATCTTAAATGATGTATATGTAACTTAAAGTGCATTGCAAATTTTCAATTTATGAACTTAACGTTTAAAACAATATTACAGCCAAATAGGCCTAAATTTAAATATTTGAAAGCATGTAAAGTTTTATTTAACTTTGCTGTTGTGGCATTGCGACTTCTATCCCAGGGATTTAGAGGAATTTCTGGTTCTTGGTTTTCTGGCACCCGGATGAATTGGTGTCAGGAACGCAAAGGCAGGTCAACAGTCTATAACAATCCATGACTTTCTTCGGGTTGTCTTGATAATACGTCATGAAACTGGTGGACGAGACTCCGATATAAGGTAAATGTGGAGTGTACGGTACCGATTTACTTCTCGCCAATTTTTCTTGGCGCAATTTCATGTGCCGTCGCCAAATACTGTTTTGGATATGCAGTGCGCTTTTTATTGCTCTCTTGCGCATGCGTCACCAAAAAACGAGAGATTGAGCACGCAATGCATAGCAATTCAAGCGTGTACCGGACAAATTTTTTAACTTAAAAAAACGTCAGCGGCTTCGCTTTCAGCATAGCGGAATAATCGTACCCTCGCTTATTCATTGAGAAACGAAACACTCAGAATAACATACACGTTAATGAACCGATATTCCGAAAAATTCCAAAAGAACTTTTATTCAAATTCGAATTTATCGACCAATTGCATCGAAGAGTTGAATAAAGCATTCCAATCGAAACGTGTCGCAGTATAACCTGATAAGCAAAACACCGGTGTAAAGATCAAAGATGCGTGCATGTGCGCTTGTCACTAATTAAAAACATCTAGACGCATCCAAAACAAATGTTCTCTCATCGCCGTTCTTGGCGGCCCTAAGAGGAACGAACATTAACCCGATATAAGTCAGTGTACATGGAATCGTGTACATGTTAGGTGTTAAGACAACAGGAATCTCGTGAGTGAACTTCTCTGGCACCAGATGGCTTGGTGTCCGAGACGCAATGACAAGTCAACAGTCAATAACGGTCCATGCCTTCCTTATAGTTGTCTTGAAAATACATCACGAAACTGGTGGGAAAGACTTCGATATAAGTCAGTGTGCATATTCATTCACCGTAAAAAGCAGGTTCTATTACCGGCTATTTCTTCCCTCCAGCCCGGATATAGACGATATATGGTGACAGTGGGACCTACAGCATCGATTTGGTTGCTACTACGTTTCAGGAACAGAGCTTTTTCAACATGGCAGAAGTTCCGAGATTACTTCCCTAGCTTTCGGGTGTTGTATGATCAAGCTCTCCTTAGTGAACATCGTGCAGCCATTTTAGTCAGTCAAGGCTCGTATCACTTTTTCTTTCGTAGTATTTTCCTCTCTATTCAACTCTGCATAAAAATTCTTACTGCTATTCGTTACACATTTCTATAGAAATCTTCACCCTCTCACCTTTCATAAAGATTTTCAGTTTTCTTCCTCTTTCGTGAAAAAACAAATTTTCGTCTTCTCGCCACGCACCAAAACCAGCCATTTTCATTCTCCCAGCGAAATCGCCAATCTCATGACAATAGCGCCAATTTTGAAAATTGAGAAAAGCTTGGGTAGAATTAAATTTTACTCGCCAAGCGGAGCCAAATTTGCCAAGCAACGGAAATGGATCTCTGAGTGGCTAAAGCCTGACCTTTATCGCTGACAAATTGACCAGCTGGAGTGAGATTTCGTTATCTGCAGCCAATAGAATAATTTTTATCTTAATTGGGAAGTTGGGGTTTAACCTTAAAAATTATTGCGATGTTTCTGTAACAGACAGCGAAGTTGGGCGTGG